ATATATATATATATATATATATATATATATATATATATGATGTCATTTTAATGGTTTATCATGTCGACCGGATGTTGGAAGCGGTAAACCGCTTGGTGGAAGTGGTAGACCATTTTTTTTTTTGAAAAGAGATCGACTGCTTAGTAGAAGACATAGACAATTTTCTTCAAGTTACGGTGACTTACAAGCCACCATAGCAAAATTCTTAAAAATAATGAAACTATAGAAATGCAGGGACCAAACATAGATGAAAAGTCAATGGAGAAGCTCTAAGGAAAACAATAGAACTTACTATTTCACCTCTAAGAACTAATTATGTTTGTTAATCAATTTAATTCAATTTTATATTATTAGTATATCTCTAATGTGATAGTTATCTTTGTCGAGACTTGTTATGTCCTAACTAGATAATTAATTGTTTACTGTCGTGTAGTCCAAAAGTCATTCCGCAAGTCGAGCATATTCTATAACCTCTCATAAAGTTCGAGTATATTCTAACCTCTCCCTTCGCATAACCTTCATTTACTATTTATGAACGATTAACTTTTCCCCCAATTTAATTTAACGGGCTATATCTCTTTCATTTCCGATCGTAATTGAATTTTTTGCACATAAAATCGAGTTAATTGTGGTATTCAAAATTACATTCATTTTTATATATTTAGCAACAAAAAATCTGAGATATATATTACAAGTTTATACCTTGGTGATAATGTTCGGTAATACACAAGATTATACCAAGATGGTATAAAAGTATACAATGATACTATAAATATGGTAATAGTGTAGAATGATTGTGTACATGATAATATGAATATACTAATTAAATTGTCATTTACCAGTTTTCATCACCATCTACCACCAGTTACCACCTTAAACCAAAGTGGTATATTTAGTCTTTAAATTCTTTTCTGAAATATTTAGTAGATCCAATAGATCACGATAAACTCGTTCTTTTTGGGATTTTGTTTGAGATTTTGAGTGAAAAATAAAGGTGGTACCAGTATGGTAACGAGTAGTATGAGTGACACACAAATTTTTTTCTAAGAAATATAATAAGAATGAATATCGTTTCGCAAATCACCACGAACATGTTCTATCTGTGAAATTCTTTTTGAAATCCAAATTAAAGCAAAGAAGATAAAATCTTATTAACAAGTAGGGGAAAATAAAAAAATTAATCTCACCCTTTGATTTAACCCTACTTAAAAGAGAAATTTTACAATGCTATATAGTATTGGTGCTATAGGATTTTGCCTTTATGGTACAACTTAAAATTGTACATTTACGTTATGGTACAACTTCATATTGTACCTATACTTTTTGTATAAATTCTTTTATGGTACAACTTGAACTTGTACTTTTATGTGATGGTACAACTTCAAGTTGTAAAGTTGTACCATAACATAATGGTACAAATTGCTTTATGGTACAACCTAAACTTATACATTTAATGTTATGGTACAACTTTAAGTTGTACATTAAAGCACCAATACTATATAGCATAGTAGAAGTGCTCTACTTAAAATCAAGGATATGATATAGTTATCTAATAGTGCATATCCAAGGGTTATTGACCCTCTACCCCAAATCGGTAAATACCTCCAGGGAGAGGATTCAGTGCATAACTTATATATGCATAAACCACCACTTACTATTTGTAGAAGGCTTCTAATTTTCCAATCATTAATTTTAATGGACTATATCTATTTCGTTTTAAGTCATAAATTAAAAGAAATTTGAATAGAAATTTCATATTAAATGTGCTCTTTAAAATGATATTTGTTGGACAAAAAAATCGAGACATGTTTACCAATTTATACCATATGGTAATGCTTGTAGTACATAAGATTATACCACGTGGTATGGAAGTGTACCATCATGGTATGAATATACCAGAGTGTAGAATGATCGTATACATGATAGTAGAAATATATCAATGGTCATTTACCACTTTTCATCGTCGTCTACCACCTGTTATGGTGTTACCTTTTTCCTTGGAAACTAACAGATCCAATATATCACCTCGAACTCATTCGTATTGGGCATAAATTTTAAATATTGAATTAAAAATGAAGATGGTACCATATGGTACTAGAGTAGGAAGGAGAGGTATGGGTGGTATGAAAAACATTTCTCAAAATATATTAAAAGTGGATATCAATTTGTAGATCACAACTAACTAGTTTCATCTTTGTAAAAAGATTTAAAATTTAAATTAACACAAAGAAGATAAAAGTCAAATAAAAATAAAAAATAATTTAAATGTAATGATCTCTTATTCTAATCAATATAAATGATTATCTTTTATTAAAAAAAAAATTTGACCCATTAAAATCAAGATTTATGATTATGCAAGAGTTATGCATTGTAACCTACTCGAGCAAAAAAGGAATAGCATTCCCATGTTCGTTCTTCTTTGCATCTCCACCGTAATTATCGGGCTTAAGCCCAATTAACAAAGTTTTTGTGTGGGAGCCGGGCGGAAGTTAAAAGATTACTCGTGTTTGCAACTTTGCATGTTGGTAGAATAAAGAAATTGGCCCAAACTGTTTGGGTTTGATCGGGTTTTATTTGACCTATCTCTGAACTTCGCGCAAACATAATATGCTTGTGCACATCATTTTCATATTTTCCCAATAAAATTGCAATAAATTCCTGAAACATATTGATAGTGATACCAAAGTCATTTCAAGGTCAGTAAGTAGCAGTTTAAGCAAAAAAAAAAAAAAAAACTTTGAAATAGTTGAATTTGACAACTTAAACAAGCATATTTTTGTCGATCATCGGAGACCTTTCTAAATCGGATCACTGATGCTCTTATAGCATCGGGTCATCACAATTTTTTTTTTTTGTTACTTATGATGTTAATTCATATAATCGAATAACAATATTATTTCGCATTGCCTCCTTTGTCCTGCCTAATCTCATCTTATTTTTCTTTGTTATAGTTCTTCCCTTCTCCTTAAACCCTCTAATTCCTCCTTCTGCACGAATCCTTCCCCTTGATCAGATGTCACTTTATCTACCCAAGTCTCCTATATATTATCCATTGGTGCTTGATGAGTATATGTTATGAGACAATTCAAGTACCACATCGGTAGTACAAAGGAAGAAATTTTTGTATATATATGTGTCCACCAAACTCATTAGTAAGGGACCTTTTGTGAAGGACGTTCCAAAATAAATATGCGCGGACATGGCCCAAAGCAGACACTATCGTACTAATGGAGTTGCCCGATTTCAACAGTATCAGATGAACACATTAAAATGGTTTATCTATGTATAGGAAGCAGATACAGAGATGTGGTGTGTATATGAAGATGGCTCGATTTTCTTGAGAGGTAGGGGAATGTGAAATGTTTGAATATTCCAATCGAGAGCCGGAAGGTAAACGACAAGCAAAGGAACAAAACATAACATTGGTGACAACATTTTGCTTTTCTCCACTTGAAACCTGTTTCTTTCTTTCTTTCGCTTGTTTTTATCCAACTTTTCTACCTCACGTTTTCTATCAGTCAAGATTTTGATTTTACCTCAATCAAGAAGAAGAAGAAGAAGAAGAAATGAAATAGCAAGCAAGCAAGCAGCCTGATCTGGCTTGGCTTTGAGAAGTGGATCTGGGGCACGTGGATCGAGTGGTTAAATATATAGTAGGAGTGTTGGAGAAGGAGAGAATATTCTTAGGCCGCCACAGTTCAACAGCTAACTGCCAAACAAAGAATTCTAAACAAATGGATCTGGGAAATTAAAGCTAAGGAATGATTAGAGTATGATTATTACTCACTTAAAGCTTTTTATTCAGTAACACACACGGTACTTTAGATTTAGATTAGGGAGAAGTCAGCCCACAAGGAGACGGCTGGCTGCACGCTTCCAAAAATTCACTGCCTACTTTGTCAGCTGGCTGTCTTTTTTAGTTTTTAAGTTTTAACCTCCTCCACCTGCACTCTCCCCAATTTCACAATATTATTCCTCAATTCATAGGCCAGATACAGATAAAAATAAGATTCTATACTTCATTAGGTTTTCTGGTTGTCTACCAAAAGATGGAAGTGTCGTCAATAATAATAGTAAGAGTTTAAACTCTAAAGAGCCAGGTTTTGTGTTGTAGAAGAGGAACTCCATAAAAGTCTCTCAAATGGTGGGTTTTATAGTCTTTAAGATGCAAGGGTTTGTAATTAATTGGGATATTTCACTTACCGTTTTAGATATCAAATTATTTGTATAGATATAGTGTAAATGTTGCATAGTATACAGATGGGACCTATTATTTGTGAATTTCAAATTAATATCGATTAGTGGTAGTAATTTACTAATATGGGTTACATGTAATTTCCCATAAAAATTTGTTAAATAGTATTTATGAAAGCCTGTGAAGCTTTATTACTTTTAAGAAAAAAGCTGGGGCATCACACAAGATGTGCAAGGCACAACAAAGTCTCATCATGAAGCCTAATTGAAGTTGGCATACTAAATTGGAACACATAATAAATTTAGATACTAAAATATAGTTTTTCGAAGATGGCTAGCTTCCGAGAAAGATGAGATGAGCCTAGCTATCTAACTTCATACAATTTTGGCCAATGTTGGGTCAAACCCTAGACCCCTTTGGGAAGTCTGTAGTAGTAGTAGTAGTAACCATTTTTTTTTCTAAATAAATAAAGAGTGATGTTTTCTATAAGAGAAAGAGCATGTTCTTGTTAGGTTGGTGGCCGCGGTGGTCAAATAATTTGAACTGATCATGGGTTGGGCGGCTAAATTACACGTTTGGTCACTCGAATTATACAAATCTTTTACGTTTGCCACCCGAATTACTTTTCTTTCTTATTCGCCACTAACTTTACAAATCCTTTCACCGTTAATCACCGGCCGTTATACTCCGTTAAATTTGTCCTACATGGCAGTCAACTTTAAAGTTTGACCGTTAACTAAATGACGTGGAAATTAAAAAAATTATTTATTTTTATACCTCATCATTCCACTTCCTTTGTCTACATGATTTATCATACTATTTATTAAACAAAATTAATTAAATTACAAAAATAAATTATCGGCGGGCATCTCCTCCACTACGTCGGCAGAGGGACCGGGATGGTCGCCGTCCACCGATCGACAAACTTCTCCTCCCACACGCTGATCTCCGTGTCTACGAAGGAGGACGTCGAGAACCTGATGGAGTACGACCGAGGCACGCTGAATCATCGGCTCGCCTCCAGCTCATCCTCTTCCCAAGGGGGAATCGGATAGTACGATAAACATAATGGCTGCCAAGAACTCCCTCCGCCATGTGGCCATCGCCAAAAGCTCCATCACGGCTGCCAAGAACTCCCTCCGCCTTTTCCCGTCGACGTGTAAATCGAAATTCCCCAACCCATTTCCTTCTCTTTGCAGCAGGGATTTGAACTTGTTAAACTTTGGGCTTTTAACGGCGTTGACGGAAAACAGAAGAGGAATGGGCGACCGGGAGATAGAATGGATCAAATCTCCGCCGTCTCTCACCGTCAATCGCAGCAGGGGCTTCATTGGATCGGTAGATCTTCGTAAGGTATGACTCCTCCGCTTTCAATGCTGAAGCGATCCTCTGCAACAAACAAAAAGACATAGTGAATCGGGATCCATAATACTGACCCGGAACGCCATCTCCAAACATATCACAAATATCCCAAAACCCCCATAGCAAGAACCCCAACCTAGGCTTTCATCATAGGCAGGCGACGAAAGAGGAATCGACGCTGCAGATCGGGACGGAATGGACCAGGTTTTTGGTTAAAGAGGAAGCGTGGTGGGAGGATTCTACGTCGGAATCCAAAGCCGACATCCTTTCCTCAACCAGCTTTCTTCCCGCCACCGATGCTTCAGGAGAGATCTCAAGCATCTTCCTAGACAATAGGAACCTCTGTTGCATTTGCAATTTGTTCCTCCTGATAATTAATTTTTTGTAATTTAATAATTTGTATGAAATAAGTAATATGATAAATTATATTGATAAAGTAAGTGGAATGATGAGATGGAAAAATAACTTATTATTTTTAATTATTTTTAATTTCCACGTCATCTATTTAACGGTCAAACTTTAAAGTTGACTGCCACGTAGGACAAATTTAACGGAGTGTAACGGCCGGTGACTAACGGTGAAACGATTCGTAAAGTTAGTGGCGAATAAGAAAGAAAAGTAATTCGGGTGGCAAACGTGAAAGATTTGTATAATTCGAGTGACTAAACGTGTAATTTAGCTTGGGTTGGGCTCTTATTACGCAATTAAGACAATTATTCCCTTTTCCTGTTGGCTGGCTGGCTGGCTGGCTCCATTGTCGTTTCTTTGGGATGTTTTTGCCCTGCCTGCCTTCCTCCTGGCTTGGACATTAATTGGGGCACGTGCATGGCAGAATTTCGCAGCAACACAAGTCACAGCACAATACCGCATGCACTGCCTGTTGTGTTCCGAGATGAGATCAAATCAAATCAAAGATATGCGTTGGATGTTCAAATCGAGTCATCAATCGTTTTAACTAGTAGTATTAGGATGATTTGATTTGTTTAATTTGAGTATTTGATTTGGTTAGACTATCGCTCACGAGCTAATAACCTATTTGATTCCGAAACTATTTTTGATGTAACCCAAAGTTGAAAAAACTCTCTACCACTTGGAGTTGCAACCGGTAAAGTAATACAACTTTGACGAGCAAATAGACCCATAAATATGATAGACTCAATTTCATCTCCACCATCAACTCGGCTAATTCATCAGTTCCTTTTAATCCACAAAATGGCTCTTCATTTTTAACACAACGATAATAATTATGAATTTCCCATAGTCGAAAAGAATCAGAAAGATGACCAAACTATTCAGTAGAAAATCTTGTGTTAGAATACGATGAGTATAAGGAGTAGTTCGTGGGTTATACATTTATGGCAAAATTACAATAATAATAAATGAAGTATAGTCATATAGGAAAAAATGCTCACTAATAACAACTATGTTATAGATTAGAATCAAATATACTACCATTCCCCCCCCCCCTCCCCCACCTTTTTCTCGTACACAAACTACTATCGAGAGTTAATTAATTTTTCTCCCATTAGGGGTGTCCTGGGACACCACTACCCTTCACCTGGACCCGTCCTACTCCTAACCAACCAAACCAATTAAACAATTAACTATATATCTAATGTATTATATACCATACTTAATATTTTGCATAATCACTCAAGAATTAAGTGTTCCTCTCTGTAGAACCCTTTTAAAAAACTAAATTAATGTATTTATACTATATTTGTTTTTGTAGAGTGTATAGAACAACATATTAACATCTAATTTAGATAAAACTCTTAACTCATTAATCACAAAAATGACATTGAACCTTATGTAAGGTTTGACCTTGACAAGGTGAATCATGGAACTCATTAATCACAGTATTACCTAAAGATGAATGGGATGGATGGACAATGCCATGTCAAAGGACACGGAGATATGAGCCTATAGAACATATTCCGTTTAAGTAAGATCGTAAATATTAATTAAGCTAACTTGGTATGACATGTCTATAGCAATAACGTCTCAGTCTCTCAGAACAAATACATTTCAATAGCTAAATCAGACCTAAATATGTTGTATGCTTAGTTTATGTACCAGTACAAGTGTTTTTATTATGGAAAACATTAAAGTAAACACCCAATTGAGTCATCAGTCATCACTAGCTATCATGGGGTGTTGGACTTCCATGTCAACAGTCACTAATCTATATTTTATTTTTTTATCCAAAAAGGTAACAATAATCATTATTGAGAGTAATATATAGAGTTGCAAACGTAAGGATAAAAAAAAAAAATCCGTCTGGTTTCGTGGGTTTTTATCTCTTTGTTTGCTAGTATAATGTATACTTGTGTATAGCAAAGATGCAAACGGTACAAAAGGAAAACAACAAAACAACAGATTTGTTTTTCTTGTCTTGATTGTTTCATAATTATTTTTGTCTTTTTTACATAAAGTAGTAAAACCAAAGGAAAGAGTCCAACCTACTTACTTTTTGAGATTATTCACATATAATACCTATCTACCCTATGCGATCATAGCAGCTATTATACCCCACAATATGTATAGATATTTTTGTGGAGATGGCTCTGTCACAATGAACCTAGTCTGTGAAATTTAACCTAAAAAAATGGTGTTCGTGAAAAAACAAAGAAGTTGCACTACTAGCATACTCCCAATTCAGTACATACAAACTGCTATAACATTTGATGAATACGATAATTGTTAGGTGCTTACTACATGATTTGTGGTACGCTCTAAATAAATCTTATTTGGAGTTTGATGGAGGTGTTTACACCATAAATTTTGTCTTGTACCACATTGGTGAGTTACAAGATAATCAAGGAGTTTATAAGGCCACACCCATTATAACAATTAATGTTGTTTAAATTGGGCCTTATGGATATTGATTTTAAACCCAAGTCACTAGCTCATTAATGAGCATGGACATGGGCCTCTCATAAGAGGCCATGCCATGCCATGAGATGGCATGAAAATTTCTAAGTATGAGAAGTCCATGGCCATGAATGAAGAGGCCATGCCGCCTCATAACCAAGACCAAACGACACAAAAACATGTCCATCTAGAATTTAGAAGCACATGCCATCTCAAGGAAGACCTCGATACGGTCAAAAATATTCTAAGTCTCGAGAAGGGCATGCCACTTCACGAAGAGGCCATGCCGCCCCATGACCAAGGCCTAATGGCTGAAAAATAAACTAAGTCTGGAAGAGGTACATGCCACTTCAAGGAGAAGCACGTGCCGCCTCACGAGAAGGGGCATGGACGCAAGAAAAGAGGCCCTAGGTATGATTGAAAAATGCTAAGTATGAGAAAGTTATGCCACCTCAAGAGAAGAGCCATGTGCATGATTGGGAGATCCATGGCCGTGTCACGAAAGGGGCCATGGACGCAAGGCCTCGAATCACACTTCAAAGAAGACAAAGATATTCTAAGTGTGGAGAAGGACTTGTCGCTTTAACGAGGAGGGTCATGTCCGTCTAGAGATCGAGAAGGTCATGCCGTGTCACAAGAGGGGCCATGTGCACGATTGAGAGGTCCATGCCTCCTCATGAGAGCGGCCATGGACACAAATAAAAATGGTGTGGTCCACGACCGTTAGACAAGAAGGCCATGGACATGAGTAAGAAGTCCATGGCCGCGAGGCAAGAAGACCACGACCCCCTTTGTGAGACACCACATGCTTATCAAAAGACTAGCATGACACAAGATTCAGAACAAGACCAGGCGAGGCAAGCTACACTCCAAGACCCACGACGGTTACAAGAGAGGCCCCTAGGCAGTTGAAGGAGTAACCACCACTCCGAGGAAGCAGGGAGCGGTTCTTTTTGGGAGTTATCCAAGAGGCGGTTTTCTACCGAAGAAGGGGGAGCAGTTCTTAGTAGCAGTTATCCAACAAGCGGTTTTCTATGGCGGTTACCTCATCGGGGCTATAAATAAGAGGAGGGGTCGACAGAGACAAGGGGTTCCAAAACCAACACTCTGACACACATGTCAAGTTTATCCTTTACCTTTTCTCTATCATGTAGCCATAGATGTAGTTCGTAGTTTGGAGCTCTCGCCGAACCTCCATAGGAGTAGAAGTAATTTAATTTAGATCTCGTTCCCAAAAATCATCAATCAAACACCCTCGTTCGAACTTTGTTTGAAGAGGTGTGAGCCGTGTCTTAGAAATCGTTATCCATAGAAGTCAAAGGTGCAATCCATCTCAATTCAACAAGAGTTTTCTCGTCGGGAAACAAATTTGGCACACCTGGTGGGACCTTGTATTTGATTTGATGGCTCCAAGACAGAGACAACAAGAAGGTGATCTCTTACCTGGGCTTGTGAAGAAGCACGTGGCTAAGTTTGAATTCGGCCAAGAGATGAAGGATGTTGCCGGAAACAATGGCGTGGTGGAGACTTCGTCACCGGTGGCACCAAGTGTTGAGATAACCACCAACATCAAGTTACTTCACAAAATGCTGATGGAGGACCGCCACATGTTGGAAGAGACTCGGGCAAATACTCATCAGGTAAATTCTAAGATGGACTGTCTCAATTCTCGCCTAGATAGATGTTTCAGTCAATTGCTTGAAGTAGTCAACAAAAATACAAATGAGGTGGATCAACTCCGACAGTCTTTAAGTAGATCAGTAGTGCAGTCAAGAGCTTTGCCATTAGATGGCACAGGCCTAACGCCTACTAATAGTGTTCTTTCTCCCGCCGGTGGTCGGAATGGCCAACTATGGCAGAAGAGCTTGTCACCTCCAGTGACAAGCAAACCACTCCATCAATGTGATAGTTGTGGTGAGAGGTCCACCTCCACTTTGAACACCAATCATGGGGTCTTACATGTACAAGGTGATGTTCAACCGCTTGTTCTCGAGACAAGATCAGATGAGACACCTGTCAATGGATGAGATGGTGAAGATCCATTCAATATGGAACAAGTACCACCACATGCTTGCCCACCCCCGAAGCCACCCCTATTGAGTAGACAAAGAAGCAATTCTGATGGACTCAAAACACCAAAAGCTCAGCAAGGGGGCCGGGAAAGTCTAACTTCCCACAATGTGAAGCCTAAAAGTCCATCTAGGGGGCATGTGATGTCTAAGAGACCACATCAATCACAAGCAACACATGCTTGTGCTAAGCATGCTAATTTGGCTAAGTTTGGAAATGGGGGCATGCATCCAACCACTTGTACTAGAAATTGGGGCATATCTAACAAGTCCCGACGCAAGAAAGCCATAAAAAGTTATTGCAGATTTGAAAATTTGGCTAATTATGGACAACGCATATCCGAAAAGTCATATGAAGTCCAAGCCACACATGTTTGTGATAAGCATGCTAGTTTGGCTAAGTCTGGACATGGAGGCATGTCACTGTCACCCATCATGAAGTATGAAGTAGGGGGCATGTCTTGGAAGACACAACAGCTCCATGCCACCCATGATCTTTATAAGTGTAAAACAATGGTTAAGTCTGGACAAGAGGATATGCAACCAATCGTAAACAGTGGATATGAGGTCAAGACCAACAAGAAAAGACGTGGGAAAGCCAAAAAGAGTTCTCGTAGTGTTGAAAATTTAGCTAAGTATGGGCAAGGAGGCATGTCACCCACCATAAATGATGGAGTAGGGGGCATGTCCAAGAATCTAAAAGAATTCCAACCTACACATGCTTGTGATAAGTATGCAAGTTTGGCTAAGTGTGAACAGGGGGGCAAGTCCATGTCCATGAGTAGTAAGTACATGCCATCAATCATGAATGATGGACATAGGGGCATGCATAAGAAGGTATCATATGCACAAACCAGACATGGCCTCACAAAGAACCAAGGATGGTCGTGTGCTAAGGGTAGGAGCCAACAATGTTTGGAGGTTGAAAGGCAAAGTCAAGTGGGCCACATGGGTGGTCGCCAACTTGTCAAGACTGGACATCGTCTCCAACAACATGAGGAGAGTAAGCATGTCTCAACCATGAGGAAACCAAGGCAGAGGAAAAGCCATGGTGGTCTTAACATGTCAAGTGATGTGGCTAAAGCATATGAGCATGAGACCCCATGCAAGGCCACCAAGGCTAGACATGCTGATCATATACCACCCACTGGTAAGCTAGAAGATTCAAAATTAATGTATGGAGAATCATGTTCCATGAAGGAAAAGAAGCATGTGGTATATGGATGGCTTGCATGTTTTAATCCATGGACTTGGCAGTGGGTGTACACCTTTGGCGCATTAGTTGTTGCCAGAGGCAATGGAGAGCAGTGACGTTTGTCACTCCTTGTTATCTTAACTAAATAAATATCATATATATTATTAAATAAATAAAAGCCAATCATGGCTATATAAGATAAAATAGAGAGAAAATAACAAAGTGGAAATTTTGAGTCAAAGTTATTAGACTTTGATGTGAAGATCTTAACACCAAGTCGTAGTGATGGCTTTGCATACCGAGTCGTAGATTGCGTCTTTCCATGCTATGTCGTCTCCCAAGTGGCCACCAGTTTGGATGTTGGCCACGACCTAAGGGCATCGTGGGTTGGAGATGAGTGATGGCCAGCTTGAGCATGTAAAATAAGAAAAGTGTAGGGGCCTCACTGAATTGTTGACGAGAAGCCAACAAGGCAAGGGTTTCTCGTGGCTACACATGAATGAAGACAACATAGGCGGCATAGCTAGCCACTTGAAAGGCG